GGGGGGGGGGCCCCCCCCCCCCCCCGGGGGTGGGAGGGGGTAGGTACCAGAAGTTGACGTGAGGGGAGACAAGACCGAGCGCCCCTGACACGGGGCAGATGTTTCCCCCCAGCTGATCAAGACAATGGCTGCAGTGCGCGTGATGGGACCGCGCCGGGCCACAAATCAAGAATTAATCTCTACGGCAAGGTAATGATGGGGGGGAGGGAATGACCACGGCACTGATGTTTAGAGGTTGAGATCTTCACCCCTGACCCCCGACCCCAACCGGCACTAAATTTTGTCCGTACACCATGCGTACTTCACTAAAATTGTACCAAGCATTTGAGGTCAAGAATAATGATAATTTAAAAAAAAAAAACTATTTTCGCAATGAAAGCCGTTTTCTTGTTTTGGTACCGGTAATGTAAATTATGTTTTTGAATATGTTACCGGATATTTGATCGAAAGAAATTTCGTCGACAGGAACTTGATCGAACGGAAATTTGGTCGAATCCCCCCCCTCCCCCCCCCCCCCCCCCCCTTAATCGTTAAAATGTTCGTCAAATTTCTGTTTTGAACGCACTATACTATAAATTAAAACAAAATAATGCGTTCAAAAAGAAATTTGAAGCAAAATTTGAACGTAAAAACTGAACAAAAGATTGTTCGACTAATAAATTGTTTATAAATATAAATTGTATAAACTATGTTATGTTAACGATTTTATCTTTTGAATTGCCTCGCAATAAGAGGAACATCGCAATGAGAGGAACAGAGTGAAGAAAGCAACAGCATTGCTACTTATGGTAGGAACTCGAAAACAACACGGAGCTTAACGATGTCATACAAACTTACAAAGAAAGGCAATGCTGTTAAGACCATTACTGACCGCTGGTAAACCCGACAGCTGACTAATTCCGAGGTCATTCCGACACAAAGTCAATCACTCTCCCCCCCCCCCCACACACACACCATCTTGTCTCCATCATCTCTACTTCCACTGACGTGTACTCACCCCCTCCCCCTCCACGGCCACACAGCCT